TTGTTGTAAATATGCGCTATACAAATAAAATGGAATTGAATTAATATTGGCTGCTAAGTTAATATGAACCTTAACCAGCTAACTTTGAGCGTGTTTTGCGTGGACCATGGTTTCAGCAGATGCATTTGTCTTAGTTCACCAACAGAAACATGTTGTTAGTCTAAAAAGTAATGACAGCACGAACAAGACAATATTGGTCACCACATTAGCCAAAACAAGGAATGATAGCAATGACATAGGCCTGAACAGCTGAGCGTTAGCCGCTAGAACAGCCTCCCCAGCACAGTTGTTTTGCTGTAATTTTGCGTCTGGATGTGCAGAATCAGGACCTGATCCTGATTCATCACACTGTCGGTCCTCCTGTTCAGCTGCTCCTCGTTCACCTCCTCTGCACTGAAGATAAGATTCTTCTGTAAAGCTGCCATTTTTCAAACCACCAGATTCCTTACAGAACAGAAATGTGTTCACTGATGGACCGAACCCGCTAAAAGAGGACCACATTTAAAGCTTGGTTCTTCCTCAGGACTCGGACTCTGCTGAATGTTTGTGCTTTCAGAGGCTGATTGTTCGTCTCACTGAGTCTCTGACTGAGTTCACGACTGTATCAGGATTTACAGCTAAAGTCTGCAGCTCTGAGTGTCTCCCTAAACCTTTCATGAGTGTTGGAAACCCTTCACTTTGCTCTGATTCCTTCATCTGTAAAATATGTGGGGTCATTGCATTGTGTTTAAATAAAGTTGAGTTGAGAGGTATAATCCTGGTTTAACATTCAGAGATCAGAAGTCACGTGGATTTGATTAACAAAGCTGAGCTGCATTCCACAGAGACTTGATTCTGGATCTGTTCCCGACAGCAGCAGTGGTCCAGATTGTGTAACATCTGTTTCATCTCTTGGTAGCTGCATTCTTTCTCAGTAGAACAACAAACACTTTCTAAAAAACTATATTATCCCAAAGTAGAACCTCAAAGAACCAAACTGAGTCCAGCTGTGGTTCCCATCAGTCTACCTGCATGAACATGGTTCTACAACGAGCTGAGACCAGCAGAACCTTCTCAGTTCTGGACCTCTGGACTGTGTCTATCTATGTCTGCATCATGGCTCCACATGGAGAAGACCTGAACAGAGGAGGAGAAACATCTGACTGAGAGACTGGACAAAGATGGAAAAGGATCCAGAAGATCAGTGAGCAGCTAGAACCCAGTGCAGCCCAGTGTGAGCAGGAACCAGGAGGTCCAGAAGGAGCCACAGCAGCACTGATCAGGGCTGCAGTGGTCGTCCTCCTACAATGACTCCACGGACAGTCAACTACTGTCACTATGGAGCTGTGGACACCAGACAAAGGCAGCTGCTTCAGACTTGGCACAGGGCTGATCAATGGAGACCAGAGTTAGTGTGAAGCTCACACAGTGTGAAGGACACTTCAGAACATCAGCCTCTATGGACGGAGGAGCAGAACTAAACCTGGCTGCTGCTCACAGCTAAACTTCCAGTTCCAGTGATGGAAACATGTTGGTTCCAGGTTTTTACATTTCTGTCAAATAAACAATCAAACAAATGTTTTTGGGTTTTTTTTCTGATCTGTTTCATTCAGACTGTTCAGGGATAAAGTGACGTTCTGCTCATTTTATTGTGCAGCAGTGACCAGTTAATACCCTGACCAGTAACGAGCTCCAACACTGTGACCTGAATACCAGTCAGCTGATCAGCTAACCAACAGCAGCACAATAGAGCTTTGTGTCCTTCACCAACAACTAGCTTCATTAGCTTAATTAGCAGCATTAGCAGGTTGAAGGGTCGCTTTATTCAAATGTTTTACAGCATCTTCAGCAGGTCTACAGACTCCTGGAGTTTAATTCAAACAGTGAACCGAAGCAGCACTGACCTCAGTGATCAGCTGGCCGATCAGCTAATCAATCAGTTGGCTGATCTGTTAAAATCCAATTGTGGTCAGAAGATGAAGCTCCTGAGCTGCTGTTCTGGAGTTCTGACCTTCACACCTGAGGCCGTCTTACCTGAGTGTGTGAGGTCACTGAGTGAGGAAGAGGAGGCGCTGGATGGTGAGGAGTCTGGGCTGCTGCTGGTTGAGTCGGCCATGTTGTGCTCGTCCTGCTGCCGGTTTCAACTCAGAGTGAAGTGACCTGCTGCTGCAGAGTGGTGACATCACTGCTGTGGGCGGGGCTTGGTGTGGAGGCGTGTCCACAGTCTGTTTAACCCTTTGTTCATGATGATGTCGTTGAAGACAGAATAAAAATGTAATATTTAAATCAGTAATTATTGATACGAAACATAGTCTTAATTGTAGTATTGTAGCGAGTCTGGTTCGTTTGCATAATTAATAACATCGTGGGCTTCAGCCAGGTTGATCTGAATAATTAGTAATAGTGTAACTTTGGTACATTTGTCTCAAGACTAACATTGTAAGGTCTCAATGATAATGTTGAGACTTGATGAGGAAATGTGTAACAATTATCTTATATGTGTTGTTCTAAATGTGTTTGAGAGCCAGGTGTAAGCAGGTGTGACCGGGTGTGACCAGGTGTGACCAGGTGTGACCAGGTGTGAGCGGGGGAAAGCAGCAGTCAGACATGTGTCTTCTTCTATAAATCTTTATTGAGTGTTCAGGTGATCAGCTGCAGAGAGACACTCTGATTGGTCTACAGAGTCCTCACAAAACACGACCCAAAAGACCGACAATCAATCAGCAATCAATAATCATGACGCCACAGAACAGTGTGTTCGTACAAAAACTCAAAACAACGACATCCGCTCCAAGTACACAAACTCACAAAGATTCAGTTCAGTCGGCGCCGGCGGCAGAACTCCCCGAGGTCGAGCGACTGTCACAAACAGAGAGAGAGGTTATCGTTTACTTTTCAGGCCTCAACCACAACCTGAACCAGAACCTGAACCACAAGACTCACCTTCGAGCCGGAGTTCCAGAGCGAGAGCGACCCATCGACCCGGACCTGCAGAAACACCGAGTCAGAGACGCTCACACTGCCAGGTTTAATCAGCCTCAGCACGTGCACGTGAGAACACGTCACTGTGCACGTGCTGACAAAGGCTGTGCGCTGTCCGTCGGGTCGCCTGGTACCAGTTTATTCCTGATTTTCAACAGGACTTTTTGTAAATTTTATCTGGTTTTCACAGATTTTTACTGCTTTGTCCCAACAATCAGGTTTCTCTGATACACAGACGCCCACAGGTCTGGACTCGGCTCACTTGTATCTCGGGCAGAGACCTGTTTGCTTTAAACAATAATTTACCAACATATAACTCAACACAGCCCCACCCACCTGCTGCGGCCTCGAGACCTGGACCTGGACCAGGACCTGTAGAACACATGAGGAAGCGTTTGATTCTGAACCTGTGTGACTCTGAGCTCAGGGGCCTGCACCACGAAGCCAGACCAACATACCAGGATATGTTCCAGAGATCCAGCTTGACTAACCCTAACAGCCCACTCAGGGTAACCGGTCCTACGACGGGGGTCCTCAGCTCGGTAAGTCAACCCAGGGTTGTCTGATCTGATCTGAGCGCGTGCACATAAAATGGGCGGAGTCATCGGCCTCTGACCAATCAGGACTACCGATCAGTCTGGCTGCAGAGCGGCTCACTTTACCGCCGAGGAGCAGAACATCATCTGGACCAGATATGAAGAACATAAAACCATGATAGGAGCAGAAAGAGAGCAGAGCAGGAAGGAATGGTGGCAGGAAGCTGCTGCCTGTGTGGACGATCAGCTCATTAGTTTATCATAAAACCTGATCACTGCTCATCATGAAGGCTCGTATCAGACCAGCAGCACATCTCAGGACTCCTTTAGCTCCTGATGGACAGACTCGTGG